GCAAAGTTAATCGCCGTCATGTTTCCTGGATGAACGCTACTGTATTGCAAACACGGAATGAACGTGATCACGCATATAAGAAATTTAAGTTTACTAGAAATCAAGTGGATTGGAGAAATTATCAACAAAAGAGGAACAACTTTGTTCATGTGTCTAGAACAGAAAAAATAAAATTTTATGAACAAAATATTGACAAGTGCAGAGGTGATAGCAATCGAATGTGGCACACACTGAAGCTTCTCATTGGGAAGGATCGAGGTAGTGTGGAATGGGAAAAGATTCAGTTTGACAGTGGGGACCGCAATACAAAGGTCGAGAATAAATTTAATATATTTTATAGAGATAGCATTACACAAATTGCAAATAGTATCCCTTGTGGTACCTTAGATTTGGCGAATAGCCTAAAAGCAGTAGAGACAGAATTTTCAAGTTTTTCGCGGGTTACATTAAGCCAGCTAAGAAAAATAGTTTTTCAATTTAAAAATAAGTCAACAGGTGATAATGTACTAAGTATAGAGTTGATGAAAAGTATTTTTTGTATAGTGGGTTATCCACTGCTTTATTTGATAAATACATCATTGTCTACGGGTAAAGTTCCTGAAGAATTAAAAATAAGGACTATTGTACCGGTACCAAAAGTTAAGAACCCAAAAAAACCTGAGGACTTTCGACCAATTAATTTGCTACCTTTGGTGGACAAGATTCTGGAAACTATCGTTGCTGAACAGTTGAGAGAATACTTGGAAAAGGGAAACTTCATCTACCGTGGACAGTCGGGGTTTCGTGCAAAACATTCTTGCGAGTCCGCGCTGCAATATGTGTGTTCAGAGTGGCGTAATGAAGTAAGTCGAGGAAACTTGGTGGTTAGTGTATTTATTGATCTGCAGCGTGCGTTTGAAACTATAGACCGTAGTATACTAATTGAAAAACGGTACAGTTATGGTATTAAAAGTACAGTAATTGATTGGTTTCGTAGTTATTTAAGTGAACGGTTTCAAAAAACTAGAATTAAGCTCAGTGTGTCACTGGACATTGAAAATAAATTAGGAGTGCCTCAGGGAAGTGTACTTGGGCCATTATTGTTTTTAGTGTATATTAATAAAATGAATAGGGTTATAAATAGATCATTTGTTAGTTTGTTTGCTGATGATACTCTAATTTCTGTTGCGGGAAGCAATTTTAACGAAATCGTCAATCTAATGAATAGCGAATTAGATATTTTGTATAATTGGCTTTGTGGTAATAAACTGAAATTGAATGCTTCAAAAACGAAGGCGATGATTTTCGGCAGTAAAATAAATTGTAAGAAGTTTACAGATAATAATTTTCTATTGCACATTAATCAAGTGAAAATAAACCTTGTAACGGAAATTAAGTATCTGGGTGTTGTTTTGGACCCGCAATTGAGATTCTCCTTGTACATTGACTATATGTGTAAAAAGTTAGGTAAAAAAATTGGAATGTTTAAAAGAGTGTCTAAAGAATTGACTCTGTGGACTAGAAAAACTGTTTACAATACAATAATCTATCCACATTTTCAATATTGTAACTCATTACTATTAGCATGTACAAGGGGAGATCTTCATAGGTTACAATTATTGCAGAACAAGTGTATGAGAATCATTATAGGGTGTAATAAATACACACCTGTAAAAACAATGTTAAACATTTTGCAGTGGAACTCGGTCCAATTTGATTTTAATCTACAAGATCGAGCATGGTTTGTTGCCTAAGTATTTTGATATATTTGTGCGTTGTAGAAATGAATGTCACAATTATAATATAAGAGATAAAAATAAATATAATATAATTAAAGTATCTACATCGCAACTTCAAAAACAGCTGTTCTTTGATGGATTGAAATTGTATAATAAACTACCAGACGATTTTAAATTGGCAAATAGTATTTATACATTTAAGAAACTAGTTTCTAAGTATTACGCTGATAATTTGGATATTTAAGTGAAATTACATATATGTAAAAAATTGTTGTTAAGTAGCATTTTTGCTAAATAAAGAACTATTATTATTATTATTATTATTATTATTATAAATACAAGGTCATAAGAAAGGAGAAATATTTAAAAAGAAATCGGCGATAACTCGTAAACAAGCTAATCAAAAATATCTAAAGTTATTCTTTTGAATGTGGGTTTTAGTGCTCTTCAATAAACCTAAATAGAATTATTCTCTGAAATAATTAGGGAAGTCAATAATTGACCGCATTAAAATTTACTTGGGATTTGCTATGTCCCGTCCGACGATGCAACCCCGGTATGTGTTGTAATTAATGTTTATATAAATAATGCTTATGTCTTTGTGTTGGATCCATTTCCAGTAATAGGCCACTGACAAGTTGATTTTCGTTTGGATTCAACGCAGTTTTGGAAAAAACGCTTTTATTTTATAGATTTCTATTAACAAAACAGAAAAAAAATATTTTTTTTTCAAAAATTATAATCCTAAACTATTATAAAACAAAAATATTTTAAAATAGTTGCTGGTATATTTTGTAATATGCAATTGTTTATATTACAAATTAATATAAATGTAAAGTTATCAAATATCTGTTTAAACTTTTAAACATCTTTATCTGTTTGAACAGCTTTATGCCCAATTGCACCGTTTGTATAAACTTTGTTTAAAGGCTAAACAGTGATTAACTATATAATATCTTATTATAGTTAATCACTGTTTAGCCTTTAAACAATGTTTATACAAACCACAAAACATCCCCCTTTAGAACTTTTTCTTTAATGGCCATAAGCGGGAATAAAAGACCAACCGCCCGAACAAACACTAGAGGTGCCACCGGTCATCAAATGGTGGGAAAACTGCGAAAATTTAATCATCTAATTTTGACACAGGGTGTCGCGCTTAACTTTTTTAATTTTAATACAATATTCATTGTTTTCGAACTATATTATTAGACTTTGTTGTATTTTGTGAATGTATAAATGTTTTCTTAGTATAAAGTTGCATTATATTAATTTAAATTATATTACATGCATATTTAAAATTCAAATATTATGACATATATGTCAGTTGCCGTCACAAAACATCCCCCTTTAGAACTTCATCTATCATGTTAAGAAATGAAAGTAAATAATAAAGCGCCTCTCGTGTTTGTTCGCACTCTAAAAATTTCAATTAATTCCTGTATTATTTTATTTATTTTTAATATATTTTTTAAATTTACATTTTTATAATTGTAAAGTAATATATTACATTTAAATGGAATATATTACATAACAATTATGTCAATTACAGGATTAGAAGCTTGTTTTCTAACATTTTTTAAATAAAACGAATTATAAAATTTCAATATATGTATATTTGTCGTTGGCATGAAAAAAGTAAAATATAAAATGGACAAACGCTTACTTACATTGCAATAAAACTTCCACTTTTAGTTTTGCAATCCAAACGCAATATTTCTATTTCACAAATAAAAATATCCGACAACACTAAAATCACTGAAACTTCCGCGGCTGAAAACGAAAACTGAAAAATATAACGGCACTTTTTGTTTTGGACCTGCATATCAACATTACGCTGTACTATTATGTGTTTGTTGTTAAAATAATATAAAATATCTAATTATAACTTGTAAATTTTAATATTTTAACATGATTTTAACGACTCTTGACAAAAATTAACTTTTTGTTATCAAGATGACATTTTAGACGGCAACTGACATATATGTCATAATATTTGAACCTTAAATATGTATGTAATATAATTTAAATTACTATAATGCAACTTTATACTAAGAAAACATTTATACATTCACAAAATACAACAAAGTCTAATAATATAATTTGAAAACAATGAATATTGAATTAAAATTGAAAAAGTTAAGCGCGACCCCTTGTGTTAAAATTAGATGATTAAATTTTCGCAATTTTTACACCATTTGATGACCGGTAGCGCCTCTAGTGTTTGTTCGGGCGGTTGGTCTTTTACTCCCGCTTTTGGCCATTAAAGAAATAGTTCTAAAGGGGGATGTTTTGTGGTTGCCGTCTAAAATATCATCTCAGAGTATCATCTTGATAACAAAAAGTTAGTTATTGTCAGAAATAGTTAAAATCATGTTAAAATATTAAAATTTACAAGTTATAATTAGATATTTTATATTATTTCAAGAACGAAAACATAATAGTACAGCGTAATGTTGATATGCAGGTCAAAAACAAAAAGTGCCGTTATATTTTCCAGTTTTCGTTGTCAGCCGCGGAAGTTTCAGTGATTTTAGTGTTGTCGGATATTTTTATCCGTGAAATAGAAATATTGCGTTTGGATTGCAAAACTAAAAGTGGAAGTTTTATTGCAATGTAAGTAAGCGATTGTACATTTTATATTTCACTTATTTCATACCTACGACAAATATACATATATTGAAATTTTATAATTCGTTTTATTTAAAAAATGTTAGAAAACAAGCTTGTAATCTTTTAATTGACATAATTGTTATGTAATATATTCCATTTAAATGTAATATATTACTATACAATTAAAAAAATGTAAATTTAAAAAATTATTAAAAATATATACAGATATTAATTGAAATTTTTAGTGTGCGAACAAACACGAGAGGCGCTTTATTATTTACTTTCATTTCTTAACATGACAGACGAAGTTCTAAAGGGGGATGTTTTGTGATACAAACGGTTCAAGTGGGCATTAAAGTTGCAATATTAATGCCCACTTGCACCGTTTGTATAAACTTTGTTTAAAGGCTAAACAGTGATTAACTATAATAAAATATGTATAGTTAATCACTGTTTAGCCTTTAAACAAAGTTTATACAAACGGTGCAAGTGGGCATAACTCAAATATTATTAGAACAGATATCTGTACATTATATTAAAAATCAATTACACAATTTGAAAGAAAATAGTTGATTTAATTAATTTTGCTCTTGAAACCACATAATATATAACCATAGATAAAAGAAAATAATCTTCTATTAAGATATATAACTTTATTATTTATCTTACCTGGAGGTTGATATGGTGATCCACCTGGAGCCGGTCCTGGTGGATATGCTCCATGAGGAGGATATCCTGAAAATATATACTCAAATTTAACCATCATGCAAACTCCATATTATTAAAAAAAAAGTAAAAAAGAATTCACACATAATACAATACACTAAAAAATGCACAGCTTCTTTTCATCATAATGAATAATTGAAATGAATTAGAATCTACTTAAAAAATCAGATGCTCACCATTAGCATAGCGAAGTTAATTACTTAATTGAATTATTATTTATATGAAAAACATTTTTATTATCAATTAACAGATTAAGTATATGTATATATAATATATAAACTGTTGAAAATACTGTCTTCCCCTGTTAGCACTTTATCATATTTTAAAATAGATATTTAAATACATTATGCTGTAAAGTTAAATACATATAACACAATTATAAAAGTGTTTCTGTAATATAAGCAATCGGTCACTAAACAAAGTTATTATAAAAATATTGTCTTAAAACAACAAGATAAAATTTTAACAGTATAACTATCACAGTTACTTCCAAGCACTTAAAACTATATAAATCTACTAAACATGCAAGAGAAGCCCTACTAAACAATGCTATAAACATACCCATTGGAGGGGGAGGATAGTAGCCTGTGAATTATAAAAAATGTTAATAATTTTAAAAATGTAAACTTTAAAATTGCATTAATATATTATTTTCTATTTTACCTGCTTGAGGCAAAGGCATTGAAGGTGGTGGGTAAGAAGTTCCTCCATAAACCCCTGGTGGAGGTCCACCATGAACTGGATATGGCTGCTGTGGTACTGGCTGAGTAGTAACTGTTACATTACCAGGACCATCTAAATTTAAAATTTCATATAAGACAAGTATACTGGTGATTAGTAAATGACATTAGTATCAAAAGTTCCATCAAAACATGATTCTTTCACACATAAATTGACCTTGGTTACAAAGAAAGGAAAGATGCAAATAACCAACTCAACAAAGATGCGAGTAACAAACTCAAACTTACATCCATATACTGTACCTTCACGTTTTCTTTTACAACACCAACCACAAATTGAAACAATAATAATTATGATAATAAATACAATAATAGGTCCGACTAGGTCCATTTTTAAGGTATAAAAGCGATAGTACGTTCTTTTTTTTACCAATGATTGATGTGAAATATATTCTAATTTATTATAAGACTTAATATTACGAATAAGGAAGAATGATATAATTAAACATCACTTTTCTATTATTTTCAAGTATTTCTAATTTCTATTAAGTGATGTGATAAGTGACGAAAAAACAAATAGTGATAAGTGAAGACAAATGACATGACATGACATATGACATAAGCCAAAAGTGGACATGACATATGACATCATGTCAAAGATGACAAATTATGTCAAATACTTTTCTCGATCTCTCTTCTCCACTCTGCTCCACTCTCTTTCATCATGCTTTCATAAAGGCTTTCATCCTATGCTTTCATCTATCATCTATATCTATGGATCTATGCCTCTCCTTTTCTCTTTTCATGGAAATAATAAATATATATAATTCGTCATACGATCGATACGTCACACATCATGTGAAAAAGGATTTAAGATAAAATTTGGGAATCGGTGTTAAATTCCTTACTCCGTTCGTAATAATTCAGTATAATAATTCTTGTTTACTTACTTGCATACGGATTTGAGTTGTGATTTGAATCATTACTTTTACAGCACAAGCAACAAAGACCTAAAACAGGTTTTTAATAACAAAAATAGGTAAAAATATATTGTGAAAACCTGTCAGTTACCTAGGCAAAGACCACATTCACAACAACACCTGAGCAATTCACAACAATCATCATCCATGTTAAACTGTTGATTTACACTTTATTAAATAAATGTAAAATGTGCAATATTGGATTCATAGTCTCATAACAAATCGTATGATCACTATGATATGGCTATGAGCTATGATCTATGATCGTATATTTGTAAAGTTGACGTATTGTTTAACCATTTAGGTCGTTTATTTCATAAAGTAACTAAAATAAAAGAGTGTTTGAAAGGTTGTCTAACTTGGCCATAATGTTGCATAGTTCAGTTAGGGCTCCAAAGCGTCGCCACCTGCTACCTGTCACGTATCATGACAAGATTGACAAGTGACATGACAGCAAATTATTTGTATTTTGCAATTATTTACAATTTTGTTTTGAATTTTGGAATTTTGTTATTATTTTGTGTAGCATATACTTTGTTTGTTTTGTGTTTGTGCGTACAGAAATTATGGAGGAAGTGTTATTTCCCGAGGAACCGGAGAACTTATATTTCTCTATGATTTGAACTTTATGTTTTGTGCTATGTGTTTTGCAGCCATCATGTAATATTTTGTTCAGTCGGTGATGTGATTTGAACACGATCCAGGAAAGGGTATCATGCAAAGCAAGTTCGATTTGTAAAGACATTGCCCGTATCTGAGCTCCGTGAACGTAAAATGAACTGACTATAAATTTGCGTCTTCATTTTACAGTGTTGAACATTTGCTACCTCAACTGAACTTCAACTGCTGAGTTTATAAATCCAACTTAAAGGTGAATTAATTTTTGGTGATGTCTTATTTAAATCTTAATCTGTTATAATGGCATAGATTGAAAACCGTGCGATCTTATATGCTTTGTTAGTAGCGTTATTAAATATGTTTTATAATACTCTGATACTATAGGTTAATCGAGGGGTACACCGCTGGTGTATTTTGGTGTACAAGATACAAGATGTTGGTATTTTTTCGTGGTATTATTGGTATTAGTACGAAATTATTTGACATTACTTTGGCATTAGTGTACAGAAATTCATCAGCGGTTTACCCCTCGAGGTTAATTCAGCATATTTTTATATTAATGTTTTATATTATCAAATTTAATTTAGCATTTAACTGTAAGCATTTGAAAAGTGTACAATAGTTTATACTTACCAAATAATCCGTTTTTAAAAATAAATTTTCATTATATTTTTTGCAGTTTTAATTTCGTAATATTTTTAAAAATACATAAAATTTTATAATCACATTTAAACTGCCCGCCTTTTTTGTGGTAGGTAATGCAGATACCTATTTTACCGATTACGTCTGTCATATTTCCATTAGTTCAGTTAGGGCTCAAGGGTGCGCTACAATCGATCCTCGTTAAACGTGTTGCCTACTCTTGACTATGGAAATGACAACTCTTTTATTTTATATTTCTCTATGGTTTATTTACACTAAAGACTGCGCCGTCGCAAAAAAACCAAATTGTTATACGCATGTTTTTTAAAATTTATATGTATTGGCATGTATTGGGTATTGGTTTGGTATTGGAAGGATATTCAACTCTGTGATTCAACTCCCTATACTCCCTATAGCGGGCTATTGGCGGGCTATGTCAGAGGGCTATGTTGGAAAACATTCCGTATTTTGTCGAGGAAGACGATTTCGTCACGACCAATGAGCGTCGAGTATTTGAAATTGAAATCATATAAATTGACGGTAACCTATGTTTTTTTGACTCATTTCACTGACAGATGTGATGAGATTATTATTGTAATTTATAGATCCAAACGTTTTTGAAAAAAATAATGTATTTTAAAGTTATTTCCTAGAGTTTGGTTTGGCCTTCTATATTCTGGTATTTGTCTACTAATAAATAATATATTATTTTGTATTTCGATGTATGGAAATCCGCAAGTTTTGTATCTGAAGCCGCAAAGAAATTTCTGCTCTATATAGTGAGAAAAATGTTATTATATCTTTTTAGACGTGTTACAAAAATTTCTTATTTCAGATGTTCTAAATGTGAGTGCATGTCAAAAATTTAAATATATACTTGAAATATTATTTCAAGTTATATGCTTTGACATTTTTTGGAAGTAAACAAATATTGAAGAAAGTGTTGTGCCTTCACAGAATTTAAATTGGCATTAGGAATAGATTTCCTTGATTTAGTAATGATTGCTCATAGAAATTGATAATGTGAAGAATAACAATACAGGAACATAGAATAACAAGAAAGAAATTCTAGCAGCAAGTTAGGTTATGAGATAAATTTTATTTATATAGTTTGTTTTAAAGAGTTTAGTTTGAAAAAAGGTAAAACAATTATTATTGTCCAGGTCATTTGATAACTGTTGTTAATTGATAACATATTACAGGGACACAGTAAAAAGACAAAACATTTAGACCCTTTGAAAGAGAAATGTTTGCAATGGATATTAATAAATTCTAGCCAATTTGTACGATGTACAATGCAGGCAATATTTCTGCCTCCTAACCTCCTAAAGATGTGGGTATTGTATTTATAGGTAGTTAATGATACATGGAATATATTTCTATATTATTGCAATAACGATGTCTTTATGTTGTATTTTTTTAGAACAGATTTATTATTAGTTGGCTAGTGTGTTAGTAGGATAGCCATTGGTAGTTATAAAGTATGAAGTCGTCAGGTATTAATAATAGGAATTGATCAAAGCTTATACATTTATTGTGATATTTATATTGTGAATTTAAGTAGTTAGTTTTGGTTGTTTAATAAACGAATTATTGTGCTTATTGTGTATCTAATTAAAAGTACAATGAAAAGTTGAATACCATAGGGGTACGTATGTTATACAAAGAATTTGCATCAACATTTTTTTGGTTATATACTTGTACTGATATTTGTTTCTTGAACTAAAGAATTATACAGTACCTACTACACAATATAATAATCTGCAGCTACATAGGTAGGTAGCTGTTGGTAATTAAATTTTTTATCTAATATAATATCTAACATCAGAAATATTGTTAATTATCAACTATAAACAACTAAGAACTAGAATTATCAACTATAAACACAATATAATATACTGTATCTTAAGCAATATGTAATTATTTAACAATTATTTTTTTTGGGAAATAAAAACTGGTACTAAATTCTTTTTGACTATTTAATTTCTAAGTCACAAATAATGGTGGACAAATAGCAAGAAAATTATACAAGTAAAACATAATTTTAACTTATTTCTCTAATGGAATTTTGGTATTGATCTACTTAGTAGGATATGCAGTTTATCATATTTTTGAATATTTATATTCAATATTGTTCAGGAACAGCCCAATTACTCTGAAAAAAAAATATATGGTCAAATTCTTTGAAAAGAAACTTTTAAAATCAGTAATGATAAAAAAATATATAATTGTTGTATAGCAGAACCAGGGGACACAGAATTAGGGGAATTAACAATAGATTATTAAAAACTGCCTTCTCTTAAAAAAGTAGTATTATATGCACTTAGAAAGACTATAAAGGATATAAGTACGCATAGAAAGAAAGTAAGTATCTATACTACTGATATATATATTAACTATATATGAATACGATACCTACAGTATACAATATTATTAGTATAAAAATAACAGCACAGTCGGCACACTTTAAAATAAAAAAGCAGCATAATATTCAGGTATGTATAAAAGTAAAATTTTCTCAAAAATATTAGAATATGAAATAAATTGCAACTAAATTTTAATTAATAAACATAAACAAATAAAATTGTCAGTGTTATTAAAACTTTATGTAAATATATGTTACCTTAATACTTTGTCTTTAATCCTACTCTTCTGACATGGCTTTTCAAACTTATGCCCAAATCTCAATTCTTGTTATTAAGAATAATATTTATGAACTTTTGTTTCCATATTAATTTCAATATATTTGAATAAAACTGGAAAAATAATCAATATTGGCACTTGAAATTTTAACTTCTTATGTCCTTAAATTATTTATATTGTGTTATACATAATACTTACATAAATATTCAATTTAAAAATAGATCAGCACTTGAACGAGTGAATATAAAATAGTATATTATCAATTTCTATGAGCAATATTATTACTAAATCAAGGAAATCTATTCCTAATGCCAATTTAAATTCTGTGAAGGCACAACACTTTCTTCAATATTTGTTTACTTCCAAAGGGCAAAGGGTATAACTTGAAATATTTCAAGTATATATTTTAATTTTTGACATTAAGCACTCACATTTAGAACATCTGAAATAAGAAATTTTGTTATTCTACGCGTCTAAAAAGATATAACATTTTTCTCACTATAGAGCGAAATTTCTTTGCGGCTTCAGATACAAAACTTGCGGATTTCCATACATCGAAATACAAAATAAGATATTATTTATTACTTAGTAGACAAATACCAGAATATAGAAGGCCAAACCAAACCTCTAGGAAATAACTTTAAAATAAATTATTTATTCAAAAAACGTTTGGATTTTGGATCTATAAATTACAATAACAATCTCATCACATTTGTCAGTGAAATGAGTCTGTGGCGGACTTCCAAAGGTAGCAAGTGCCCGCCACAGATTGGTTGGCTCCACGGGAGGAGAGTAGCAACCTTGAATCGCCACCCAGCTGATATCTGTCAATCGGGGAAGAAGAAGGATTATTCTGTGGATAGACATTCGACCTTCAACATTCACGTTTCGCGCCAAGAAACCGAATTCTTATGTTTTTGTAATAGTTATTTAGTTTGTAACAATTGATCGAGTTAATTAAATGACTTAATTATTTAGTGTGCCTAATTTGCTACCCGCAACGGCCACATTGGTGACCCCGACGAACGTGTGAGTGCAACAAATTCAGATACGCAATGTCCACCTCCGACACGAACGACTTCCAAACCGACGATCAAGTCGTTATTGCCCGTGTAGGGATTAAAGCACCGGAGTTTTGGCGCACAGAGCCCGAACTATGGTTCCTACGCCTGGAAGCCCAATTCAGGCAAGCCAAAATAACATCTGATGACTGCAAGTTCGATCACACCGTAACAAGTTTAAACAGCGAGGTCCTATTAGAGGTAGCCGACATACTACGAAATCCAACTAGAGGTAGGGCCTACGAAGACCTCAAAACTAGACTGTTAGAGAGATATGGCAGTAGCGCTGATGACAAAATTCACCAGCTTATGGAGATGACCTTGGGCGACCTTAAACCAACACAGCTTCTCCACCGAATGCAAGCTTTGGCCTCAAATAACGTTTCTACGCAGGTTCTAAAGAAACTCTGGTTAGACCGCCTACCACCCCAAGCCCGGGGAGTCATAGCAAT